AACTTAAAAGTCTCAGGAAAAAAATAATAACAAATAAAGAAACACTACAGCTAAAATAATAAAGAAAAATGACCCTGCATCAGTACCTTTCCACACACTGCCTTCGGGACAGGGGAGGCTGACATCTTCGGTTATGAGCTTCTCGGGCAGCAAGTCTAGCTTCTGACAACTGAAAGATTACAAAACCCATTTAATAAACTGTGAAACTTGCTATCATCCTAGAAAAACTAGTATCACTTTCTGACATCAAAAAGTCAGAAATTCAATCAATTCAACTAGCATTCATTTCTGGGGAAAATAAACAAAACACAAAAAACTAAAAACATTCTAGAGCAGTTTGAAGCAATATTCAACATATTAAAAACACTGAGAGATTAACTCACATATGATGATCTTAACAGGACTGCTGAAGAGACCAGTTTCACAACAAACCTAACAAAGGTGAAAATTCTCGTCAAAGCTTTCAGAAATTTTAACTTGACCTGAGTTCAAGAGGATACCAACTTCACAGCTGTATCTCTCAAGTGCCTTCATTAGTCACCCAATAGCTGTATAAAAGATGTTCAATGCAAATGTTCAAAAAAAATGGGGTTTTTTTGACATTTCCTGGAATGATTATGACCTAGACTCTTTAGTGAGAAATTTATATTTGCAAACAAGAGTGCTATGGACTGAATGTTTGTATCCCCCAAAATTCATATGTTGAAGCCTTAACCCCAGTGTGATGGTATTTAGAGAAGGGGCCGTTGGAAGGTAATTAGGTCCGGAGGATAGAGCCCTCATGAGTAAGATCAGTGTCCTTATAAGAAAGAGTAAGAATATAATGAAAAGACAGCCCTCTGAAACCAGGAAGACAGCCTTCACTAGACACTGGATCTGCCAACACTTTGATCTTGGACATCCCGGCCTTCAGAAATGTGAGAAACAAATGCTTGTCGTTTAAGCCACCCAGTCTATGGCACTGTTGTTACAGCCGCCAGAGCTCACTAATACAAGGATGATCAGCCATCCCATGCTAACACCTCAGAGCATTCTGAAGGGAAACTAAGTCTTCTAGACAGTAGTTTTAAGACATAAGTAATCTCGCCTGTAATCCTAGCACTCTGGGAGGCTGAGGCGGGAGGACTGCTTGAGCTCAGGAGTTCGAGACCAGCCTGAGCAAAAGTGAGATCCCGTCGCTACTAAAAATAGAAAGAAATTAGCCTGACAACTAAAAATACAAAAAATTAGCTGGGCATGGTGGCACATGCCTGTAGTCCCAGCTACCTGGGAGGCTGAGGCAGGAGGATTGCTTGAGCCCAGGAGTTTGAGGTTGCTGTGAGCTAGGCTGACTCCACGGCACTCTAGCCCAAGGCAAAAAAAAAAAAAAAGAAAAAAAGACATCAGTAATCAGAGCAAGTTCAAAGTAAGTAGGAACTCCAGTCTTCTGAACCAAAAAACAGGGAATCTCCAACTCTCTGAAGAGATTTATCTCATATAATGTACAAACTACATATTTTTGTTGGTTTAGACATTGTCAGTAAAATTGTCACATATATAAAAAATAAATATCCAAAAAGTTGATGTACCTTTTCATCTTCCCATTGAAAAAAATTACAGTCTTTTCTATCTCTACAGGCTGAGCAGGCATAAAACCTCCGGGTTTCTTCTTTCCCTTGGCTCACCTTCACAAACAGAAGAGTGGGCCCTAGTTCCAGAAAAGGAAAAAACATGTCAAATGATAGTCATCTACATCAAGTTCCTAGTTTTCACTGCCCTTAAATAAAACTTGTTTTGGTTTTATGCATAATTTATTATAATTAAATCCACCACTGTTTAATAAATGTTTCTTTTCTTTCAGTCACAACATTAAGGCACTAACTACTTGGAAACAATTTTTGAAAACTGGTCTCTCCAAAAATAAAATGCTATGGTCAATATAGATGCTGTCTGAGTAGTGAATGTTACAAACCTGGGACTAAAGAAGGGGGCCCAGAGAATCGAATACTTTGCCATCTCTTGCACGGTTATTCTTTCAGTGAAAACTTGAGTTTTTAAAGTTGGACACTCTGCGAGTTAGAGAAAAACCGGGTCTGGCTTGCATGCAAGAACTCATTCTATCGTTCTACCTAACTTTTTTTAATTGAAAAGACAGCAAATCAACAAATGAAATCCCTAAGCATTTGTCAACCAGAATTATTCAAGGCATCCTTCCCTTTGCCTACCTCCCCCAACCCCAAAATATGTAAAAGCCCTGAAGCCAAAACCACAACTGTGGGGATGTGCTCTGAACGTTTCTCAAGTAGGATGAAAAACACAACATCCACAAGAGGGAGGAGCATTTTCTAGGCATCACACATGGTGAGGGAAAAATGCAGATAAAAATACTGGAGCTCTAAAAAGACCTCGGCACCTCCAGGCCAACTCACGCCCCTGGCGCCCGACCGGCAGGCTTAGCCCAGACGCCGACCCACCGTGAGGGCACAGCGGGGCGGAGAAAGCAGGATCCGAGGGAAACACCACTTCCACTCCCGAGCTCCCCCGGCGACTCGCACTCTCCTCTGCCTCCACGGCTTCCAGCCGGTCCCTGGGGGACGCCATCTTCCCGCCGCCTTCCCGAAAGCCTCGGTCCGAACCAAGGAAGGCTGAGGAAGAGCGCCGCCGCGAGCCACAAGGACCCACAGCGCCCCCGCGCGACTTGGAGGAGCTGGGGGGTTGCCGCTGAGGAGACCACGCCCCGAAACGGAGTCCCCGCCCACCCGGGGCTGCTGCTAAGCGTCCCCTAGCGGTGGGGCTCGCAGGTCACTTGTTGGACCTATATCCACCTCGCCCTCCGCTCCTGAAGCACCCTCCTTTCATAAGAATATTACCAGAAGATGAGATGACTCTGGAACAAACATTTGATAGTATTGTAAGTCCACCACCACCAGCAGCTGACAAACAGCTGAAATAGCTGCAGCAGCTGCACTTGATGGAACGACACTCTGTTTTTCAAAGTTACAATCGCAACATGATTTCTAACTTTTGGACAACGGTTATAGTTGCACATCATACTTGCATACCCATTGACAATTATACATCAGAAAGAAAGAAAGAAAATTGTCCCTATTTGTAGACGACATGGTTGTCTACACAAAAAATCCCGAAGACTCTACCAGAAAAACAAACAAACAAAAACTTTCAGTTTAACCGAATTCAGCAAGGTTGCAGGATATGAGATAAACATACGAAAATCAGTTGGATTTCTGTATACTAGATATGACCATGTGGATACTAAAATTAAAAATAGAATGCCATTTACAATTATTCAAATAAATGAAATAGACGTAAATCTAATAAAACATGAACGGGACTTGTATGCTGAAAACTGCAAAATGCTGATAAAGAAAAATCAAAGAGAAACTAAGTAAATGTAGAGGCAAAATGTGTTCATGACTTGGAAGACCCAACACAGTAAAGATGTCACTTCTCCCCAGGTTTAATGCATATAAAGATTTAGTACAATCTCTATCAAAATCCCAGCCAGATTTTTTTGTAGATTTAGACAATATTATTCTGAAACTTGATTTATATGGAAAGGGAAGGGAACTAGAATAATAACAGAACTAGAACAATAATTTTTGAAAAAGAATAATAAAGTGGGAAGAATCAACCTTCTCAATTTCAAGACATCGTATAGCTGCAGTACTCAAGGCACACAATGTACGGTTGTATTAATAGATGAAACAGTCAAACGTCTCCTTACATTGTTTAGAGAATTGACAGTGCACATACATATTTAACGTCCTGTATTTAGTGCTATGGTATTTTAATGTAGAAACATTGTTGTTTTTCTTTCACACTTCATGCAATGGTTTCACTCAAATTCTCCACCTGTGCCTGTAGCATCTGCGTCTTTGTTGTGTCCAACACAAGTTTCCAGTATATATTACCTGGACTTCTATGTCTTTTGAGATAAGGGATTTTCTGGACCCATGATGATGATGATACTTTTGGAAATCTTATCTCAAGACCTAACTAACTACCCGCTCACATGAACATTAGCACTTTTATTTAACAATCTGTTTTATACATACAAATGTGTGATCTTCCAAAGACTTGTTTAAAAACTTTGCAATTGAATTTGTGAAATCATACAACCGGAAATAGTTATAGAATCTATATTCTCTCTTTCTCTTTCAAGTAATGCTAATTCTGTGAGGTCACCTCTCTAAGCAGCCCAGACCAATATGGATTTGCAGCCTTTTCAGATAAGTTTCCCCAGACAGTAAAAGTATACAAAGATTGATCCAACTAAGTAAATGAGAGAGCACTTCAAAATGTGAGAGATGTTGAAGGTTTCAAAAACAAGGCAATTCTCTTTTTCCTGGAGGATAACTTTGGGGAGAAAAAAAAAAATCTCAGCTTATATTCAGATATATGCAGTAAATAGCCTATGCTAAATATTTACTGATGGGGTTACGAATATGACCAATAAGTTAGGACTGTTTCATTTTATTGCCTAATAGTGTTTTTTATTTGTGCAGAAAATCCTTGAGTGGAGACATGCTAAGAGACTCAGCAGGATTCTGCAAGGAAACCAGAGATAGAACTGAAAATGGGCCCTTTGAGGCCTGAGCACCAGGTTAGATCCTTGTCACACTTCTCATCACACAGAGAATGATTCTAATGCTGCTAAGACCTGCTTGAATGCATCGGCTCTCCCAGCGGAGGGTCTGGTCAAACTGGTGAGCTTCCTATCGGGGTCTGGAAGTTTCATCTCTTGAATTTATTATAGTATAAGTGTCTTCTGAAAACCTCCAATTCCCAAGTTGAAGCCAGAGGAGTATTTTGTAGTGAATGCCTGACCATCTTCTCTGTCTTCTGGTAACAGAACCTCAGTTTTCCTTTGGGAAGCCAACCCTCTCTGATTTTAACCCATGTCATTTGAGAGGCACAACGAATGGTAGGGACTGGCTTGGATTTGGGCAGGTGACTTGGAGCTTCTGCTGAAACGGCTGAGAAAGGTGTGATAGATGTTAACATCTCAGTGGCATCCGCGATGTTGATTTCTCACGTGTGTGCAGGGCTCAGCTCTCCAGTGTTGCCTGGGCTAGGTCATGCATCTAGGGGTCGGCTGATCCAGGTTTGCCTTGGCTGGAGTAACTCACCTCTGCCTGATGTGTCTCTCATCCTCTTCCTGGAACAGCAGGCCAGTCTGGGCATGTCTTTCTCATGGGAGTGGCAGCAGAAACAGAGAAGCTTCATGAAGCTTCAGCTTGGAACTACCCCCTCTCACTTCATTCTTGTGGCTCAAGCAAGTCATGTGGCCAAGCATTGCAAAGATCATGGCAAAGAGTACAAATCAGGAAGCAGAGAAGATTTGGGGCCCATGACACAATCTACCACATACCCATCTTCACCTGGGTGACCAAGTAGCCAGTGGCAATGTTTCCCACCCCTTGAGAAGCACATTCCTTAGCAGGAAGCCAATAGGAGGGAAGCAGAACTAGGAGATAGGAGTGCATGGAGATACCATGTGAGCACCTAGATCAGCCATGCCTGAAGGTTTCAGTTACATGATCAGAACTTCCCTCGTGGTTCCTTGAGCCAGTTTGAGATGGGGTTGGTTCTATCACTCATGACCAAGAATACTGACTAATGCTCTACAGCTGCAGCCGTAATATTGGATGGACGTATCTGCCTATCTGTATGCCTCAAAGCCCTTTTCCAGACAAGACTAGCTAACCCTGACCTCCTTCCTCTCTGCCACGATCCCTATGGCTCTGCCTGCCCTCCTCCCCTCCCCCCTCTCTGGCCCTTGTGATGGAACCTGGCTTCCTCGGCTGCCTTTTGCTTTTCTGCTCCAAAGTAAGCACTCAGACCCATTTTTTTTAAAAAGGGGAAAGCTGCCAGGGAAGACTAGCAACAAGAAAGAAATCCTGCGAAGTCCCGACTGTGGCATTCTCTGCCCCTGGCTCTGGACCCTGACCCCCCTGCTTCCTCTCTCTAATTTCTGAGAGTAAAGCTCACCAAACCTCTTCCCAGCCCTGAAAAGTCTCAGTCGTGAAACTTGGCTGGGGAAGGACTTGGACACAAAGGGACTTTGTGGAGCCCTCCTCAGATCTTTGAAAAATGGCGACAACACTGCCCAACCAAACACCCTGAAACTAAGGACGCTGCTTGATAAGCTATTGAGATTCACCAGTCATTTCTGATGTGCCGGACAGAAGCCCCCACAGAGCGGAGCGAGCCTTTCAGAAACCAATAGAGACCTGTGGCAGGGGCCCCCGGGGAGGGAGGCATTCCATCCACATCTCCAGGAGCTCCCTGTCCCTTCCCCCTGCCTGAATACGCCTCTCCGGCGTGAGAGCTGGGAAGGACATGTAGGAGTGTGTGTGTGTGTGTGTGCGTGTGTGTGTGTATGTGTGAACGTGACTGTTCTTTGTGAACACACAGAAATGGAACCTTGAGATAAATAATTCTGCTGAAAAGTAGAATGCCATGTGTGGTTGGGTTGTCCCCCAAAGATTCATGTCCACTCATAATGTGACCTTAATTGGAAATAGGCTCTTTGCAGAAATAATTAGTTAAGGGTTGAGATGGGATCACACGGGATTAAGGTGAGCCCTAACGACTGGCATCGTTCTAAGATGAAGAAAGGGACTGGGTGTGGTGGCTCACACCTGTAATCCTAGCACTCTGGGAGGCCGAGGCAGGAGGATTGCTTGAGCTCAGGAGTTCGAGACCAGCTTGAGCAAGAGCAAGACCCCATCTCTACTAAAAATGAAAAAATTAGCCAGGCATGGTTGTGCACACTTGTAGTCCCAGTTACTTGGGAGGCTGAGACAAGAGTATTGCTTGAGCCTCAGAAGTTTGAGGTTGCAGTGAGCTATGGGGACACTACTGCACTCCAACTGGGATGACGGAGTGAGACTCTGTCTCAAAAACAACAACAACAACAACAAAAAGATGAGGAAAGGACAGAGACACACAAAGAAAAGCCATGTGAAGACAGAGGTAGGCAGAGATTGTTGTTGTCCACCATGAGCCAAGAAACACCTGGGGTCACCAAAAGCTGAAGGCTTCTAGAAGCTTCTAGAGCAGTGGTCCCCAACCTTTTTGGGACCAGGGACCGGTTTCATGGAAGACAGTTTTTCCATGGACGGGGGTGGGGGGGATGGTTTCGGGATGATTCAGTGCGTTACATTTAGTCACACCTCTCTGCTAATGATAATCTGAATTTGCAGCCGCTCCCCAGCGCTAGCATCACCACCTCAGCTCCACCTCAGATCATCAGGCGTTGGATTCTCATAAGGAGCTGCAACCTAGATCCCTCCATGCGCAGTTTACAGTGGGGTTAGCGCTCCTATGAGAATCTAATGCTGCCGCTGATCTGACAGGAGGTGCAGCTCAGGCTGTGATGCGAACGGTGGGGAGCGGCTATCAACACAGACGAAGCTTCCCTCCCTCACCTGCCTCTCACCTCCTGCTGTGCGGCCCAGTTCTAACAGGCCGAGAACCAGTACCAGTCTATGGCCTTGGGGTTGGGGACCACAGTTCTAGAGTGCCTCTGGAAGCGGAAGAGGCAAGAAAGGATTCTCCCCTGGAGCCTTCAGAGAAAGCATGGCTCTGCTGATGT